TTCATTTCGTCGCCCCATTTTCTGATAGGGTTAGATGTTTTCTTCTTGTGGAGTTCAACCAGTACTTTGTATATCCTTGATATCAGCCCCTTGTTGGATGTGTATTTGGTGAATATCCTTTCCCATTCTGTCATCACCCCATTTTCTGATGGGATTGGATAATTTTCTTCTTGTAGAGTTTAACCAGTGCCTTGTATATCCTTGATATTAACCTCTTATCAGAAGGGTAGCACTGTAGCACTGTCCTCCCGTTGTTCATCGATTTGCTCTAGCGGGCACCAGTAACGCCTCACAACAAATTGTGAGACTTTCTGTTACTGTTTTTGGCATATCAAAAATGCCACGGACAGGTTTTGCCATGTGGGCAAGATACTTTCAATAGCTTGCCGGGCTCTCCGAGATGGGTGGAGGAATCGAACCCTGGTTGACCATGTCAGCCACGTGCAAGCAAACACCTTACCCACTGTGCTATCGCTCCAGCCTATCAGAAGGGTATTGGGTGAATATCCTTTCCCATTCTGTAGACTGTCTTTGTATTCTGGTCACTGTTTCTTTTTTTGAGGTGCAGAAGCTTCTTAGTTTAAGATAGTCCCGTTTGTTTATCTCTGTTTCCACTTGCTTGATCAGTGGTGTTTCATCCTTGAAGACTCCTTTAGATTGAATGTAGTGGAGGGTTTTTTCGACCTTTTCTTCAATGTACCTTATGGATTCTGATCTGATGTTGAGGTCTTTAATCCACTTGATCTGACTTTTGTGCACAGTGTTAGGTAGAGGTCTGAGCCCATTTTTTTGCATGTAGCTGTCCAGTTTTGCCAGCACCATTTGGTAAAAAGGCTTTCCTTGTGCCAGTTTATATTTATTGCTCTCATCAAAGATTAGATATATCATATATTTGAGGATGTGTGTAAGGATATTCAACCATATTCCATTGGTCTGTGGATCTGTCTTTGTTCCAAAACCATGCTATTTTACTTATTACCACTTTGTAGTACAATTTGAGGTTGGGGAAGATGATGTTTCCCATCTGTTTTCTCCCAAGAATTGCTTTCTCTATTCATGGGGGCTTGTTCCATATGAATTACAGGAGTATTTGATCAATTTCTTTGAAGAATGTCATGGGTAAATTTATAGGGATCGCATTGAATCTCTATAGTGCTTTGGGGAGTATTGACATTCTGACAATGTTAATGCTCCCAATCCATGAACAGGGGATGTGTTTCCATTTCCTTGTGTCCTCTTTTATTTCTTGAAGTAGCGTTTTGTAGTTTTCTTTGTACAAGTCCTTTACCTCCTTAGTTAAGCTGATTCTGAGGTACTTGATTTTCTGAGGTATGATTGTGAATGGGATTGCTTTTTTCACATCACTTTCTTCTCTTTCATTATTTGCATACAGAAAAGCCAAGGATTTGGGGGTGTTGATTTTATAGCCTACAACTTTACTATACAAGTCTATTGTTTCTAGGAGCTTCTTGGTAAAGACTTTCGTGTTCTCTAAGTATAGAATCATGTCAGTAGATGTCATTTCTACTGTGCTTTTTTGAACCTCTGGCATATGTTCCCAGAAGTGGTATTGCTGGGTCATATGGAAGCTCAATTTATATATTTTTAAGGAATGCCCATATTGTTTTCCCAAAATGCTGGACCAGCTGGCATTCCCACCAACAATGAAAGAGAGTCCCTTTTTCTCCACATCCACACCAGAACTGATTGTTCTTGTTCAAACCTGTTTTTGATCCTTGCAACCCCCAATCACTGATGGAATGATCCCTGTGCACAGAACCAGGAGTAAGCTCTAAGCACAGCCAGGTGTGGCCCCAAAACCAACGAAAACAAAAAAAAGTTAAGCGGTGCATGAAAGAACTTGGCACTTAATTTGATATAAGTGATTAAAAAGCAAAAGACAAAGGTATTTTTTAGGTTTCTAAATCATGGAATATGGTGAGATTAATGCTATCAACTGTGCTGTTGGCTCTGTATTTTCTATGGATCAGACTCTATCCACTGAGTATACTATATTGCTGCATAGTTCTTTAGTGGGTGTGGAGGAGTATTATTGTTATACCCACTTTACAAGGGAAATGCATAAAAAGCTTTCTTACTTTTGCAGGGGGTGGGGGTTGTGGGAGAGAAGACTTTTGCTCCAAGGCAATATAAAGCTCAGCTGGAATCATTGGCCTGTGGTAACCATGTTTGGGACCTGAATCCTGAGGTGGTGGATTGGTGTTCTTGGGAACAAGGATATAATTATGCTCCAGCCACAGGAAATCAAGCTGGGCCAACGGCAGTTATGACGTTTGCAAATCTAACACTGCAAAAGTTTATTTCATGCCTCGGTGCTTTCCCTGTCATTAATAATGGCTGCACTAAGAAGATCATATTACCTTGGCTCTGGTTTCTAAGTGATCAATCAGGTGATCTAAGTTAGTAGATAAAAGTGCTTTACAACACTGGAAAGATCACACAGGAAGGAAGGCACTTGCCATAGAGGAGGCTATAGGAATTGCCAGCCTGGTTTATCTCTGCCGCCATAGATGATCTTCTGAGATATGCCCATGGTCACTGCTGAGCACAGAGCCAAGGAATAGCCTCTGAGCACTACCAGATGTGCCAACCTAAAAAATGCACTAATTCTCAGCTATTGTTCCAAAATCAAAGAATAACATAGTTACCATAGCCTATTAGAATAAATGTTGCACCTATGTAGAATATATTAGTTCAACTAAAACTCTTCATTGGTCCTAGTTACTTCTACTGCCTAATTGTCTTCATTGTCTTCATTGGTCAAAGACAACCTGATTTCCTGGTAGTTGAACCAGCCACACATTTTTACTTTGACCCTCTGATTGTACCTGAGGTTTGAAACCCTCATTGCCCATTCCCTCTCACCCTCAAAGTGCTCCGTCTTCTCCTTTATTTTTTTTGTAGTAGTACTGCTATTTATTCAGCCACTGATTAGCTGATTGAGTTGGGCATGAACTCCACCTTAATTTTTTTAATTTTTTTTCCTTTTTATATTTATTTATTGAATCACTGTAGGAAAAGTTACTAAGCTTTCAGGTTTAAGTCTCGGTCATATGATGATCAAACACCTTTCCCTTCACCAGTACTCATTTTCACCACCAAGAACCCCAGTATACCCCCCTCCCACCTCTCCAAATGCCTGTGAGGCAGATGATTTCTACTTAACTCTTCTCTACATTGATTACATTCATTATTTTGACAAAAGATACACCATTATTGTCTAGAATTTCTCCCCAAACAATCAGAATTGCTGAAAAGGCATTGTGAAATATTTTGTTTTCTATAGCTGGTTATGAGAATCATATAATGACACGTGGCCACGATTTTGGATTTCTTCAAAGAGCCAGATAATTACGAGATTGGTTTCTGTGTGTCCGGTGTTATGGCCATGCCAGAGAGCCGCTCGTGGCGGGGGGGGGGGGGGGGGGGGCGTAACTCATGACCTCGGTAGGGTGTGAAGGATGAGCCGGTACAGCCCCCCTTCCCAGAGACTGCAGTTGCCCCGTCACTGCCAGCTCATACCTGGCTTTCCAATAAGCTCTGAGCCAGTGGCCACCTTGTCTGCAGTCCAGATGCATTTCTGCCAAAAGCTGCTAGGTTTCAATATTTGTTTCTGAGTGTCTCCGGTATCATGGCTATTAATCAGCTTGATCAGGAGCCAGAGAGGCTGTTTGTAGGCGGCAACTCAGGGTCTCGTTGGGATGGGGAGAAAGAGTCGGCTCCACCCCCATGTGGTGAGGCCCCATGTGTCTCGTCACTGCAGGCCCTGGAAGTGGCCTCTGGAAGATGGTGGTCACCAGGCCACCAGGGGGAACAGGCCAAGGCACAAAACCTATTCCCACCTGGAGTGGCCCAGCGCCAGTAACCTACTGCAGGAACAGGGCGTAAAGTAAAGTAAAGTAAAGGCCTTCCCGTTGATCATCGATTTGCTCGAGCGGGCCCAGTAACATCTCCATTGGAGACTTTGTTGTTACTGTGTTTGGACGTATTTCTGCCAAAAGTCTTTGTGTTCCAAGAATTGTTTCTGAGACTCTGGGATCATGGCCATTAAGCAGTTCAATCAGGAACCAGAGGGGCCATGCCTTCAATTATATAGCTGAGCCGAAGGTGGTTTGTGGGTGTCTCCCACATACCTAACTTTTGGTCATTTACTTTCTTGGTAAACTTTGCCCCAAGTTTTTGGGGTCTGGCCAAAGGCACAGCAGCAATTTTGGGGTATCTGAAAGTCTGACGTTGCCATTAGGCTGCTGAGGCACTCACCTCACAGGTACAGACTGACCTGCTGGCAGCACCATACCCCCTTGTCCTCTCCTTTAAAATGACTGAAGAAAAGACTCTTCTCAAATTTCCTTCTTTCACTCTATGCTTCCTCTTTCCCTCTGGCCAAATAGAAAGTGAAATAATTTTTGTTTCAAATAAGGAAAATAGCGTAGGGGAAAAAACTCCTCAAAATCCCTTCTTTCCCTTTCACCCTCCTACGCAGCCCCCCAATAGTAATCCACTTTACAGCTTATTTCTAAAGTGCCTAAATTGTGTGTCTTGTTTCTCTGTTTTTGCATCACACACCTGGGGGTGCTTGGTGTAGGGGTAGGGGAAATTTATGCAGAACTGGGTCTCTCACTTGTAGGAAATGCACTGGAGCCCTTTGCATTATCTCCACGGCATCTACCTCAGAGTAATTTATTCACTAGGCTGCACACAGCCGTCTCTTAGCAACCATAAACTCTTGTCTAAAGGAGAAGTCTAACTCTTCCCTGATGCCAACTGTTTTCAGACTGCCGGTCATCTTTTAAAAGCTACAGTTTAGTTCTTTTTGGAAAACGAATTTGAGTAAACTGTTTTCCAGGCCTGTGAAATCCGTGCTGTGCTTCCCAGAGGCCCTTGTCTCTGCGGTTCCAAGAGCAATGAAGCCACAGAGAAACTCTGTCCACTCCCAGGGTAAAGATGGGTCACTGATGGTCTCTCCTTCCTCCCTGTAGGATTGTGAAGATGTCCAGTCCCAACCTGAACATTGTAACCTTGCTAGGCAGTTGCCTGACCTACAGTAGTGCTTACCTCTTTGGGATTCAAGATCAGTCTGCTTTGGTGGGAAGCTCAATGGAAGTTCTCATTCAGGTGGGTGAAGCCTTAAATCTTTGTTTTGCTAATGTTTTTGGATTTGGTTTTGTTGTGCTTCGCTTTCTGCAGAGTAAAGGCAACACTCAGCAGTGCTCCGATCAAGCCTGGAGCCTGCTGCGTGCTAGGACTCAGCCTTCTGAGTGAGCACCTCAGTCCCTATGGTTTGATGATGTTTTTTAAGTTCAGTTGTTCCTGTGGGTGGTGGTCACCTTTATCCTTGATGTGGGCACTCTCAGAAGTGGTCACTGGAACAGTTATTGAGGCTCACTTTGTGCCCTGTGCCCTGTGTGGTCTGAGGCTTGACAGATCAGAGCATGTGTAGAACCAACCCAGGTTCCTCTCATGACTCTTGTTGCTGTCCCTTTCTGTCTGTAGATAAGACTGTCCATGCTGTGCATTGGAACCTCCCTTGTGTTTGGCCCCATTCTGGGGAAGAGCTGGCGACTCTACAAGGTGTTTACCCAGAGGGTCCCGGACAAGAGAGTGGTGAGTAGGCAGCCGTGTGTACCTCTTGACTGTAGACAATCCTATTGAAAAGCTAGTGAAACTCATGCCAGATTACTGTGTCTGGACCTTTTACAACCATCTGAAGTTTCTGCTCTTCATTTCAACCCTTGGAATTGTGTGGCCTCATAAATGCCCAAGCCTTGAAGACTGCGTGTTGGTGTTATTGCAAGACAGTCTTTGAACATTGTTTCAGCTAGATGGGCCCCAAGCCCTGGGACTGAGCTATGGGACCTTTCCACTGGTGCCAGATCTTGGACAGATGCCCAGAAAGACAGCTGCTTGGCATAGCCAGTGCAGAAAGGGGAGGGAGGGAGAAAGGGACAGTGATTACAGAGAGGCTGTAACAAGAAGTTAGTTCTTTCTCTCCCTGGATTCCAGTTCTGTTCCATTAGAAGACCATTCCCCACACAGGAGGGATCGGGCTAAAGCAGTGAGCAAGACAGAGAATGAATATCAGACGAAATCAACCCCAGGAGCTATTTGACTGCCATCCTGTCTCACCCGTACCATACACCCTTCCATTTTATTAGGTTCCCTGATAAATCTGCCCAAACTTCAAAGTCCAGTCACCAAACCCAATAGCTCTGTGCCCTGCCCTTCCAATACTCAGTTGGAAGTGGAATGATAAATTTTTAAAGCCTATATTATTGGGTCATGGTACGCATTTATCAAAAGCCCAGCTGTGAGTAATCATCTATATGAATAAGATTGCCTAAAGACAAAAAGTCCATCCAGATCTCTAGAACGGTTCCTTTAAAAAAAGGGGGGACTTTATTGTATGATCTAATATATTTTAACATGTCTACACCATGAAGAATGATGTCCCATGAATATATCCAGATTCTATGGACATTCCCATATACACACAGATGTTAAAACACAGATGTTCTCTCTCTTGTATGGTCTGTAAATAAAAACACAAGTTTTTTATTGATCCTGATATTTGATTTGGAAGAACATGTTGTTTTTCACCATCCTAATAAGTGATTTTGGTAGTAGCTCATTGAGTTTTAATTTGCATTTCCTTTACTCATTGTTGAGCATCTTTTCTCACGTTTGTCATCCATATATATTCTCGGGTCAGGTATCTACTTCAGATCTCTCAGCCACTTATTTTTTATCATTAAGTTGTATCATTTCCTTTATATTTCCGATACAAGTTATTTATAGGACATGATTTACAAAGGCTTTCTTCCCAGCATAGCTTTCCTCTTCATTTGTTTAATAGAGTATTTCTAAAAGAAGATGTTGCAATTTTTGATCAAGTCCTGTTTAAAAATTTGTTCTTTATGGATCATGTTTTGGGTATCAAATTTAAGAATACTTGTGTAACCCCAACCCCTGCAGAACTGGTGTCTGTTCTTTAGTCCTAGAAGTTTTAAGTTTCAGGTTTCACATTTAGACCTGGGATCATTTTGAGTTAATTTTGGCATATGATGCAATGTTTGAATCATTTCTCCCTCCTCGCCCCTCTCGATAGCCAATTGTTATCTCACCATTTGTCTAAAAGACTGTCCTCTCTTTACATAATGACTTTTGTGCCTTTTTTGAGTATCAGTTGTTCATAGATATATGGACCTACTCCTAGACTCCACTGTGCCTCGTTGATGTAGTTGTTTATTTTGATTACTACTTGCTCTTAAATTTTCTAATGTATCAAATCACCATGAGAGACAGTTTCAAAGTTGTCCATGATTGAACTTTAATCATACACTTAGAGCACCCATTCCTTCACCAGTGCCCCTTTCTCTCTTCTAATGTCCCCAGCTTCCCTGCTTCCCCCCAGCCTGCCTCTGTGGAAGGCATTTTTCTTTTTCTTTTTTTCCTTTTATGCACTGTGGTTTGCAATACTTTTACAGAAAGGGTATCATGCATATCACTTTAGTGGTGAGGTGGGGGGGGCACCGGGTATTTCTCAGGGCTTTTTCCTGGCTCTGTGTTGGGGATCACTCCTGGAGGACTGGGGGAACTATATGGGAAGCTAGGGACAAAACCCAGGTTGGCGGCTTGCAAATAGTACCTGCTGTACTATCATTCTGACCACACATACATATCACTTTAACTTTGTTCAGCATTCATTTCTTGTCCAGAGTAATCATTTTTCCATTATCATTGTTATCGTGGTCCCATCTCTAACCTAACAACCCTCTCCCCATTATGGCACGCTTTCTACTAAGGACCAATCTTCCTAGCCTTTGTTTCTACTGTCTTTGGGTATTATTCTCCTATGTTTCTTTATATCTCACAAGTGAGTGTGATTCTGGGTCTTGGCCGTTGAATCACACTCACTTGTGAGATATAAAGAAATATAGGAGAATAATACCCAACGGCCAAGACCCAGAGACTATAAAAACCAGCTCCTGGAACCGCGTGGCCGCATTTGCGGCCATGTGACATCTTAATATGACATCTTATTATCTCATTCCTTCTTTGGACAAACTGGCAGGCTATCGAATGTAGCCTGCCCACAGGGCAGAGTCTGGCAAACTCCCCGTGGCGTACCAAATATGCCAAATACCAGTAACAATGATGGGTCTCATTCTCCTAAAGAGCCTTGAATATAATCTCAGGGCTAGGATGAAAGAGACATTACTGGGGCCTGCTCGAGGCAATCGACGAATAACAGGATGATTTGTGATTTGTGATTTTGAGTGTGATTATTCTATGTCTGTCCCTCTCCCTCTGACTCATCTCATTCAGCATAATACTCTCTCTCCATGTCCATCCACGGATCAACAAATTTCATGACTTCATTTTTTCCTAACAGCTGCATAGTAGTCCGTTGTGTAGATGTACCACAGCTTCTTTATCCACTTGTCTGTTCTTGGGCACTTGGGTTGTTGGCAGATTTGGGGTATTGTGAATAGTGCTGCGATGAACATAGGAGTGCAAATGCCTTTTCTTCATTGTGTTTTAGGGCAAATAGTGTATATTTCCAGGAGATTATTATGTGCTTTATATCTTGTATCATGGTGTATTGATTCTTTAATTATGTTCTTTTTCAAAACTGTTTGAATACCCTAAGTCCTTTGAATTTTCATCTAAATGTTTGAATCCGTTTGCCAATTTCTGCAGAAATTCTACTTGGTTTTTATTAAAAACGATTGCATCTATAGACAAAATTGTGGCAAACTGGCTTTTTAACCAGCTGTATATTTTAGCCCATGGATTTAAGACATTTTTCTGTTTATTTGTATCTTTTTAAATTTCTCAGTGTGTGTCTTTCTCACTTTTTAAAATTTGCTTCTAAGTAAATTTTTCTACTAAGCATGTTTTTTTAATTTCACATTTCATTTTTTTGCTAATAAATAAAATTGATTTTGTTTTTTGTTAATCTTGCTACTTAGTTCTCAACATTTTATACAGATTCTATCAGATTTCCAACTAGATGATCATATTGTCTGTGAATAGACATTTTTTTCCAATCTTTTGCATAATGGCATTGGGTAGAAGTAGCAATACAAGGTTCAATCCTAGAGCTGAGAAAAGACAATGAATTCTTATTCTTATAAGGAGACAATTCCGTCTTTCAAAACTAAGGATGAAGTTAATTACACTTTCCCCCCATTTTTAATTTTTATATTTTAAATTTAATTTTAGTCACTGTGCTTTACAATGTTATGCCACCGAGAGTGATTGGGCTTCATGTGTCCGACATTCTACCACCACACCACCCACCGTTGTGTCCATTTCCCTCCACCATTGTCCTCAGATCCTCCCTCAGCCACAAATACCTCTCACCTTAACACCCTCTTCTCACCTTCTAAATCTCACTATTGTAAACATGTGTCTTTTGTTCTCTGATGGCTTTTAAATTTTTATCTTTATCACAGTTTTGATTAAGTTTTTGATTAATTTGATTAATAAACTGATTTGTTTTCATGTTACAAACACCATGAATCATGTGACTTTATATTTCCTTTTATTGGTTGACAAAACTGCAGGTTTGTATTTCTGCTGTAGTTTCTGATGCTTTTATTTTCATTTTCATTGTAATTATCTTCATTCTATTTTCATCAAATTTTTCAGTATTGCATCCTATTGCAGTGCATCTAAAATTTTTGATTTTCATAGTCATAAAAGTAACACATTTTCATATGAACCAAATATTTTATATATGTTTAATGAAAATGATTATTATTCTTTCCTTCACCATCCTCACCTCTCAAATCTACCCTGTAAGTTAATGGTTTATGTGAAAATTTCCATATCTATGTACTCAGAATAACAATACTGGTCGAGAGAGACAGTTCAACTAGCTGAGCACATGCTTGGCATGCTTTACATGCAGAAGGCCCAGACTTGATCCCTAGTACTGTCTGGTTCCCAAGCACCATTGGAAACAACCTCTGAAAACAGATCCAGGTGTGGCAAAAAAAAAAAAACAGTATTTAATCTATGAGACCCCTGAGTACTTTTTTGGGAAAAGGAAGAATGTAGAAAAGATAAATGAGAATGTTTAATGGTGATTATAATGATATGGACATTGAAATTACTGAACATATTTGGTATGTCTCATCTCTGATTATTGTGTTTGAAAGTTTTGTGGGGAGGGGTGCATCCTGGAGCATGTAGCTCAGAATATATGGGGTACGCTTAACTCTTGTGTCATGTTGTCAGTGAACACACACACACACACACACATACACACACAGTCAACCAGCCAAATAAGCAATCAAAAACACTATGGTCTTGACTCTTTTGCAGATAATCAAAGACCTGCAGCTACTGGGGTTGGTGGCAGCTCTGGTGGTAGCTGATGTGATCCTGCTCGTGATGTGGGTTCTGATTGATCCCATCCAGTGCCTCCAGATTCTTAGTGTCAGTATGATGGTGAGGAACTTAATTGCTTGAGAATTATATTCCTGTACTAAGGGGACTAACTTCTGTGGGCACACAAAGTTATTTTCCCCATAGTATATGCATTACGTCCATTATCCAAACAGGGAAAGAAATTCACCTGAAGAGGAGGGAGAATCAGGAACTCTACCTAAAATGAATGCCCTATCCCTTGCCTGCACCATACCCACTGTGTCTATGATCCCAAGGGCCTTCCAACAGCATCTACTTTGGGGTCAGCACACCGGAAGCTGCATGACAGTTATCTCTTTCCCTGATTATTGAGAGGGAAAGGTACTATCAAGAGCCAACTCTGGCTCAAATCCCAACTCTATGGCTCATCAGCAAAGCAAAACCTAGAAAAATCTATCCAAGACTCTTAGGTAAAATGTGATGATACTATTGCTTAAGGTTGTGATAAAGATTTAATAAAACAGTACAGTAAAATGACTCATAGATGCTTGGTAAATTATAATCAATAAATATGCACTATCATATCTTAAGGGTCTAAAGAACACAGTAAAATCCTGACATTGCAGGTTTAATAGACAAGGTTTTTCACTGCTCTCAAATAACAAGAACATGATGAGAAATGGGGCTGGAGCGATAGCACAGTGGGTAGGGCGTTTGCCTTGAACACAGCTGGCTCAGCCAACCCAGGTTCGATTCCTCCGCCCCTCTTGGAGGGCCTGGCAAGGTACTGAGAGTATCTCGCCCGCACGGCAAAGCTTGGTAAGCTACCCATGATGTATTCGATATGCCAAACACAGTAACAAGTTACCATCTGACAATGGAGACATTACTGGGCCCTCTCGAGCAAATCGTTGAACAACAGGAGGACAGTGCTACAGTGATGAGAAATAATGTGAATAATGAGAAATTTTTGCTGATGCACCAATTGGATTCATTGCAAAGCACATAATAGGAATAAGCCCTGTTGCCATAAGTACCACATTTTAGTTTTATCATATTTTCTTTCAACTCATAATCACTTTCATTTATATTCTAATAGAATTGTTTCGATTTTATAGCTTTTACATATCAAGGGGGAAATTATATGCTCTAAAGGAGTTTCTGCTCCATGGTAGACAGAGATTTATTACGTTTTTGTTCATTGCCGGTGCCCTCAGTCCTGATTCTCTGTCCCTCATAGGTGACAAGGAGAGATGTGTCCTGCTCTCTGACCAGCACACACTTCTGTGCTTCCCGATATTCTGATGTCTGGATTGCTCTCGTTTTGGGATGCAAGGTTGGTAACCACGTGTCCTTTGGCTATAGTCTGTCTATCACCAGCAAGATAATTGGATATGAAGAGAGGATTGTAGGAATTAATGAGATGGTTTTTGCAAAGAATATTGAAATCAGAGATGTTTATTGATACTAGAATTGTGATCCTTCTTATTCCTCTACTTTTTAATGTTTTTAAAGAAATCATTTTTCAAACTCTTTGGGTGCCCTCATTTAGTCCTGCCCAAATCATATAGAATTCACCCACTGTTTCTACCACTTCTTGTGTGTTAGTTTTAGCATTTTCTTAAAAATAGCAATTCTCTTCCCCAACTCCCTGTAAAGGGAATTACAAAAAGACATCCTACCCAGCTTAATTTGTCTCTTGAATTCCCTTATATTCAGCTTTTAACTTTTTAAAATTTTGGTTGAATCACTATGAGATACACAGTTACAAAATTGTTCATGATTTGAGTTTAAATCATATAATGTTCCAACACCCATCCTTTCACCAGTGCACATTTCCCATGACCAGTGTCACCAGTTTCCTTCTTGATCCCTCCCCACCCCACCCCCCACAGCCTCCCTTTACCTCTCTCTCCCTCTCTCTCTCTGTTTCTCTCTCTTCCTCTCTCCTTCTCTCCCTCCCTCTCTCTCTCTTTCTCTTTCTCTTTCTCTCTATCTCTCTCATTTTCCTTTTAGACACTGTGGTTTGCAGTACTATTACTGAAATGGTATCCTGCATATCACTTTACTTCCTTTCAGCACTCAGTTCTTGTCCTGAGTGATCATTTCCAACTATCATTTTCATAGCGGTCCCTTCTCTGTCCTAACTGAAGTCCCCCTCCCCATTTATGGCAAGCTTCCTACCATGGACCAGACCTTCTGGCCTTTGTTTTTACAGTATTAGGTTATTATCCACATACTATTTTTTAATATCCTGCAAATGAATGCAATCATTATGTTTGTCCCACTCCCTCTGACTCATTTCACTCAGCATGATACTCTCCGTGTCCAACCATGTGTCACATCCATCTTATTTATGTCTGTCTTCAAGACTTGTATCAAGGTATCCTGTTGCCTTCCACCCATTGGTTGGGAGCAGGACTGGTCCTAAAACAAATGATAACATCCAGATTATCTTTACAGGAGTTCCAGCTCCCTCTGTCACATGTACTGCCCCATCAGTAGGCTCATTTTTCTGTTAGATGCAAAAGTAGAACATCATTTCTGGGGGCACAGAGGGCACCAATAGAGATGAATCACCTGTCTGGTGTGCTGGCTTTCAGGTGGAGGAACAGAGACTCTGGCTCTGAGGGTCCTGAGGCAACCCCATTTCAAACAGTAAGGTGATTCAGGTCCCATGACAGGGGATACATGGTGACTGTCAGGACAAAGAACCCTGACTGACACATTGCTGACCAAGGAGTGGTTGTAAAAATAAAAGTAGACTTTGCTCATTTCACCACCAATCAAGTGCTTCAGTAGATGTTTCTGACTGATAGGAAGTATCTTCTTTTAGAGTTGGGGGTTGGGGAGGTAGGCCACATCAATCAATGCCTAGGACTTAATCCTGACACTGTGCTCAGGAGTCTCTCTTGTTATGTCCAGGCAACCATATACTGTACTGGGGTATTGAACTGGGCTCAGCTGTATGCAGGGAAAGCCCCTTAGCACCTTAACTTGTAAACCCCTGTACTGTCTCTCTGACTTAGGAAGTATATTTTTGCCTATGCGTATACAATATTTTGATGGAATTTTTTTATTTCATTGAGTAACACTGGTTTACAAGACTGTAAATGTTTATACGTTTTGTGGGTGCAATGTTATCACACCGTACAGACCACCAAAGTGCCAATATCCCTTCCACCACACCCAGTGAAGACCTCCACTCTTTTCAGGACCTCCACGCCTGCAGTGTCAGTTCTGTAGTCAAAAAGGCTTGTTTTTATTGGATGTGTATCTCTTCCCTTGCTTTGTCTCTTTATATTCCACATATGAGGGAGATCATCCGGTATTTGTCTTTCTGCTTCTGGCCTAATAGAGATACTTCTAAGAGAAAACACCAGGAAGTGAAAAGCTTCTGATCTCTGGTTTGTTACTGTTTGTTAAGAAAATGAGCTACAGGATATTACGGAACAGCGTTTAAATTCTGATTAAATTTCTTCTAAACTAACTCAGTGCCTCATGTAACCTCTCCCAAGCTCTGTTATTTTATCTATGAAATGGGGACAATAATAACTTTCTCTCATAACTGTTCTAAGATTTGCAATAGTACATGCTAAGAGTTTTCGACTGCCTCCCTGCTAGCATGTTAAAAAGAATTTTTGTATTATTATTATTAGTCTTTGCTGCATCCCTGGACAGCTCTGACAAACAATTGTCTCTCCCACTTTCTCGAGACCCCATCCTCCCCAGCACTGAAACTCAGCACTTCTCCCATAGCGGTTCACTTGCCTGCTCAATTTGATTTATTTTCTCCATGGCTTAGTGTGTGTTAATTGTTTATGTAGCAATATGTTTATGTATCAATTGTTTATGGTTAGCCTAAATATATATGGTTCAAGCTCCAGGAAACACAAGTCAGTGACAAACTTCCACGAAATTCATCCCAAGTAATTCTTTCCGTTCTAAAGTCACTTTGCAGTCTGAAAGATACAACCTTCCTCTCTCCTCAAACTTTTTTCATGGAGTCATGATTTCTGTGGAAACCTGCACATGTTTTCTTTCTTCATTCTGCCACACCAAACTTTCAGAAAAACGTAACCATCATGGCTATAAGGAACGCTCCAATGATGAAATTGCAGGTGTTGGCGAAGCAGCCCCATATCTGAGGTTTGGCTGAAGTTCCGGAAGTCATGGAGTCAATATCTTCAGCATCTATGGCCTTCCGGCCTGAAGGAGAAATAGCTGGTCTCCATGGCCTTTTACTAATACCATTTCCAATTTGTTTTTCTGTAGGATAAGAAAAATAAAAGGGTAAAATAAAATGCTAAGATTGCTTACTTAGCATCTGGAAACTGACTGAGCCTTGGATTTTCTGGCCTCTATTCAGTTTCTGAGGCAGGTCCAAATCTTTACATTATGTCCCAAGAATCCCCTGCCCACCATCCCCTCCCCTACAATCACACACATGCTCAATACAAATCGATGACCCCCCCACCTCACATTTCTCAGGAGTGAAGGCAAATGACATATGGGCATCATATATGACTTGCAAATGGCATAAGGGAATCATATATGTATGTGTGTGTGTGTATGTATACAATTCATGTATGTATAGAGACTTTATAAAGACCTAATTCCCTTTCGTGATAATGGCTATTGAAATAAAAACATTGAATATTTTCAGATCAGATTTCAATATTTCAAAACCACAGAATTAATTTCATTCACCTTTGATTAAGTTACTATTAAGATTACTCTAACTTAAACTGTGGTACATCTATACAATGGAATTCTATGCAGCTATCAGGAAAAATTGTCATGAAATTTGCTTGTAAATGAATGGACATGGAGACTATCATGCCGACTGGAGAGGGATGGACATAGAATGAGAGCACTCATTTGTGGGATATAAAAAGCATAACATGAAACTATTACCCAAGGAAGTGGAAGCAAAGGGCTGAAGGGCTGGTCCAGGTTTGAAAGCTTGCCACAGGGTGGGGGTGGGGTAAAGGGGAGCTGTGGGTAGAGAAGGAACCACTATGACAATGGTAATTGGAAATGATCACTCTGGATAAGAACTGAGTACTGAAAAGAGGTAAGGGGATGTACATGATAACCTTTCAGTTCCTGTACTGCAAACCATAATGCCCAAAAGGAGAGAGAGAGAGAGAGAGAGAGAGAGAGAGAGATAGAGAGAGAGAAGTGCCTGCTATAAAGGCAAACTGAAACTGGGGGTGGGGATGGAAGGAAGGAAACTGGGAACACTGGCGGTGGGAAATGCACACTGATTAAGGCATGGGTGTGGAATGTTGTATGATCAAAACCTAATCCATGAACAACTTTATAACAGCGTATCTCACAGTGCTGTAATAAAAATAAAATGTTATGCTAAGTAAAATGAGTCAGAAAGAGAGGGACAAATATAGAAGGACTATACTCATTTGTGGAGTATAAAACAACATAACATGGCTGACTCCTAAGGACAGTAGATACACGGGACAGGTAGATTGCTCCATAGCTGGAAGCCTGCCTCATGAGCAAAGGGGAGAAGGCAGCTGGAATAGAGAAGGGATCACTAAGAAAAAGATGGCTGGAGGAATCAGTCGGGATGGGAGATGTGTGCAGAAACTAGATAATGGACCAAACATGATAACCTCTCAGGGTCTGTATTGCAAACATAATGCCCAAAAGTAGAGAGAGATTATGTGGAATCATGTCTGCCATGGAGGCAGGGGGAGGGTGGGAAAGGGGGGTTATACCGGAGATATTGGTGGTGGGGAATGTGCACTGGTGGAGGTATGGGTGTTTGATCATTGTGTGATTGTAACCCAAACATGAAAGCTTATAACTATCTCATGGTGATTCAATAAAAATTTTTTAATGTTAAAAATTAAAAAGAAATAATAAAAAAAGAATACTCTAAGTCTGCTCAATCCTACTGGCCTCCTGACTTGTCAGCGTTCTAGAGATTCTGCTTGGCTGCAGGCCTCAGGCCCCGCTTGGATCTCCGGGTGTTAAGGGCACCCAGAGACCATCCCAGCCATTCTGACTCCTTCACCGTAGGCACAGCCAGTTCTTCCCAGAGTTCTCTCAACCTGTTCCTGGACTGTTCATGTCATTCCAGGTCCCTGGTGTTACCCATGAATACCTGACCTCACCATTATCATTAATCCTCCCTCTGAGTCCACATAATCTTCCCACTGCATTCCCCTAGTATCTCCACCTCCTGCTTCATAAAATATGGGTGTTTGTGTGTTGGCTGTCAGTCTCCCCACCTAACTGAACTTCTGAAGTTAGGACCATGACTTACCCCTCTTTGCAGCACTGTTTCCTGCCGCCCTATGTCAGGCAGACAGAGGTTGAAACTTTGGTTTCTGTTTAAATGCTGCTCCTTCTAGCAGAAGTAGAACTTTAAGATGCTGAATTATTTTCTCCATTTTACAAATGAGAAATCTAAGAACAGGTTCATATTCATGGGAAAAGAGAAAGAATCAGGACCTCGGTTCCTGGTTGGGAGGGGGGGGGGGGCAGCAACACTTTAATGTCGGATTCTTATCCCCCTTTGACAGGAGGGGGAGGAGGGAGGAGGGGCAGTGGCAGGGAATGTGAAAGGGGTGAAAGGGAGACAAGGAGACTTTGCTGGTGCTCCTGCCCCTCAGTTCTGCCTTGGTCCCAGCCTTCCTTTGTTCCTCTTTCCATCCCCCATGAAGCCCTGCTGGCACAGGCCCTGCTAGCTAGCCTTAGAGAGCCTTTGTGTAAATTAGCAAAAGGCATCCCTTCTCAGCAGATGCAGGCTTGCAGGTGCAGGGCTTGGCAAGCAGATGGTGCCTTGAGGAGAATTAGAGAGAAAATAATGAGCCCCTTCCTTGGGGCACTGTCCGGCTGCAGCCCATGGCTATTGTAGGTTCCACGTGCCTCAGCATCCAGAACCAGGATGGCCCCCTGCTCTTTGTGGAGGGTTCCTGCCATCCACACCATCCTGTCTGGTGTCTCAATCTGGCAGAGGCCTGTCTGATGACTCACTTACTGACCTTCAATAAAGTAAGTGTCAGTGAAGGAGAGTGAAGGAGAAGTAAGTACTTGTGAGCTCCATACGGCCACGTTGAGGGCTTCCCAAGGAACTCTCGGAAGGAAATTCTGCCAACAGCGCTTTCAAGTCAGGGTTCTTATCCCCCTTTGACAGGCGAGGAAATGGGTCCCAACCCTGTTGCTGTCCCTGAGCCAGTGAGGCCACTTCTCTGAGTCTTGGATTCTCCTGTCCACCTTCAGGGCATGCTGCTGCTGTATGGGGCCTACCTGGCAGGCCTGACAGATCATGTCAGCTCACCTCCAGTGAACCAGTCTCTCACCATCATGGTCGGGGTCAACCTCGTGGTGCTGGCTGCTGGCCTTCTTCTCGTGGTCACCAGATATTTGCACTCCTGGCCCAACCTAGTCTTCGGACTCACTGCTGGAGGGATCTTTGTTTGCACAACTACAGTCAACTGCTTCATCTTCATTCCCCAGGTATGGACCGGAGACAATGAAATGGGACCATCCTCTTACTCCTTCAAAAAGCCTCCCTATCATGATAAATTACTTGCTGTGTGTTTCACTGAGACTTTGGGTGCCCCTGACTGGAAAACCAGAGAGTTTTCTAATGAGCTCCCTGCCTGTGTTCTTCCCTCCTGGCACACTGACTTGGCTCCTGGTGAGGAAGCAGGCTGGAGAATGGGCCACGTGAGCAGCAGCCACCCATTTTCACACCACAGAGCTGCCCACAGACCTGCTTGTCCACCACTGCCAGCAGGCTTCACTCCTTCCCACATGCCTTCATTCTCTCAATGACTTTTCTTTCATCAGTCTGGGTCTAGGATTTTCCCATTTGGGAATGCAGACTTGCAGGACGAAATGCATTTGGAACATTATATAATGTAAGATGCTTCTCCTATGGGGCAGAAAGATAGTATAGAGATTAAGGAGCTTCCCTTGCACGCAGCTGCAGCTATGAACTTGGTTCAAAACCTGGAACCACATAAGGTTCCCTGAGCACCACCTCCTACTCCCCCCCCAAGCACCACTAGGTATGGCCCTGAGTATAGAGCCAGAACTGGCCCCTGAGCACAAAATAATAATAGTAGTAGAAGTAAAGTGATTCTCATTCCTTATTGTTAGAGGAAGATATGGAATACTCCTTTTTATAATAAGAAAAGTAAGGATATGTGTCACTGAGAATTATGATAAAGCCAAGACCAGGGAAATAATTCAAGGGGCTAGAGTACAGTGTGAGAGGGACATGCACTTGAGAGCATGACAGTGAGACATGGTGTACATTCTTTACTCTTCTTTTTTGAAAACAAATTCTCATTAGGATAATAAGCTAGGTAAACAAATATGGAAAAATCTATGGCATCACACAAAAAATAAGTATGATTTTACTTCTGCATTGGAAAATAAAGGATTTGAGGGCTGGAGAGACAGTGCAGGAGGTAAGGAACTTGCCTTAATTGTGACAGACCCCTGGTTTAAATCCCTGGTACCACCTAGGCTCCTCGAGTTCTCCAGGGATCAGTCCTGAGCATAGAGTGAGGAATAGTCCCACAGCATCGCCGTGCGTGTTCCTGATCCCCTCATGCCCCCCCTGAAAAAATGCAGATTATTGTTTCAATGGATCTTATTGTTGTAAGAAGTAGTTGAAGGAAGCCAATGAAAGCCAAGGCTCATCCTCCTGATACATGGCAGAAGAGAAGCAAAGACTCTTCTCCCTAGGAGATGGAAGAAACCAAGTGGAGAGTGGAAGTAGCCTCAGCCCTGTGAATAACACTGCTGCTTGGTAATCTGCCCACCCACTGCCAGCCCCTTTATTCTTTGCTGACCTCCACTATAAAAGGAGTTAAAAGAACTATTGCTTTGCCAAACTATTTTAGTTAGGGTTACTCATCTGACATACAATTTAGAACATTAAATATTTTGGGGAGGCTTCTAAGAAAGATTTTCTTTCATGAAAAGTTATGGGTGTGACTAGAAGCACCTCTAATACCTTCTTCCTACTGGAATGTTTGTGATGTCTGGAGCTCTGGCAGCCGCATTATGACCAAGAGAATGTTATTGAATATACTATAATAATATAGGAAATGATACTCTTTCTATGGGGAAAGGATCAATGAGAGAGAATAATGAGAGATTATAAGAGACAGACAGGGCTGGAGAAATAGCTTAGTGGTTGGAGATTTCATGCCTTGCATGTGCAAAGACACAAGTTAAAGTTCTAGTATCATGTGACCCCTGAGTACCTCTGGGATGGCCCTGGTAGTCCTCTGAAAAGCATCAAAGGCCTGATTATCGTGGACCCAATTGACCAGGTATCATCAGAAGTGACCCCTGGACTCCCTGAGCACTGCTTGAGAGGACCTCCTTCTCCATCCCACCACCACCACCAAAAAAAGAGAATTGGAAATTTCTGAAGATTTGGAAAAAATATATCTTTCTCTAGAGTGAAATAGAAACATTAGATGTCGAGGAGACATTTAATTTATCTTGTCAAGAAGATTCCACAGATATTGCCCCTCTTCAACTATAGCAAACTGCTGTGACAGGAACAATCTGAGTTCATGAAATATTGATTTTGGAAGGCTCACCCTGCAGTGCTTAGAGTTTGCCCCTGGCTCTGCACTCGGGTCAGTATTGGTGGTGCTCTGGGGACCCTAGGGTGGTGCCATGGATCGAACCTGGGTTAGCTACGTGCAAGGCAAGAGTTCTGACCCCTGTACTATTACCCTGACCCTACAGTTCATGAACTATTGGAAATGAATGAAAAGTATTGTGTTAAACTGAAAACCCCAATATAAATAAACATTGAATAGGCAGTTAGACATGGCATAAAATTGTATCAACTTAAGGAAACAGAAGAAGAAAGATTTTAAAAATGAGAGACTAGATAGAAAATATGAAGAACAAATCTAGAGATACAATTGTAGAATTAATAGGAGTCTCCAAAGGAAAACAAGATAATCTGGGGAAGAAGCAATAACTAAAAAAACTACTAAAGGGAAGCTTTCTGATCTATAAGTAGACTTTTGTCTATTTTAGTGAAATGAATCAGCAATCTTCACAGTGGTTTGATCTTTTGATGTCCCCTCTTTCCACACTCACCTCCTGTAAAAGTTTTTTGTTTGTTTTGATTGAGGGCCACACCCAGTAATGGGTTGCGTGGGGGTGGGTGGGGGCAACTTCTGGCAGTGCGCGGGGGACCATGTGGTGGCAGGGATTGATTGAACCAGGGCCTCCCATATCCACGTTAAACTCTCTCCCGCTGCTCAGAAGGCAGTTCTCAGCAAACGAGCAGTAATTGGGTGCTGGGTGAGAGACCTTACAGTGCTGAGAATTACCCAGGGTGCACTCAGAAGCACAGGGGGCATCTCCAGGACCACACCTGGCAGTGGTGCTGGGCTGGGATCGAGCCCGGGAAGGGCACCTTGGGCATGTGATCATTGCCACCTCTCAGCCCCGCCTCTGATATCTTCAGTGTCAGACACAGTGTGACTTCTACTCTCCAAGAGGATTGACTTAGCATTTAGAACAGCTTTGCCATCTAGGTCTGTAACAATGACATGTTTCCAATCTACACAAAGTCCTAAACATACAAGATGAATTTTGCCTTCAAACATGATATCCAGGTCTGCATGAGGCCACAAGTATTTATTTGCTAAAGTGGGAGTAGGAGTAGATTCCTAAGGGTACAGCAACTGGCCAGCTGAGCCATATTGACCTTTCTCTTTCCTTCTCCCTCAAACCCATTTCGCTTTCCCGTCTTGACCTTCTTTCTCTTGACCTTTTCTATTATGTTTTCTCTCTCATGCTCTCTCTTCTCTTGGACTGGGCATAATCTGAAACCAAAAAGAAAATATTTTATTGTCCATAGTATTTTAAGCTTAAGAGGGCAATTCTTTTTTAAAATACAGAAGTAACCTGGGGTGTATCAGTTTTATGTGTACCTCTGAATTGAGTTCTGCTTCAGTGGCCTTTGGTGGAAGAAAGTCTCCCTGTGAGACCTGCAATGAGTATTCCCAAGAGTGTTGGGTAAACTAGGCAAATTACAAAAGTGTGTCAGGAGAGGAGAGAGCTTTAGGACTGGACTGGGTTGGGTGGGGCTTATAAAAGCAAAGGCACAGATTCCTCAGGGGCGGCTAGGCGGCGCTAGAGAGCTAGGTGGAGTAGAGTCAAGTGGACCGAATAGCATTCTACACAGGCTCTCAAGAAATTCCTGAGTGTTTATCCCAAACACTGAGGTCAGCAGCAGCAGTGAGCCAGCCTCTGCTTTTGATCATAACCCATTTGTACATATACCTCCTGCTCCCTCCATATTTCTCTGAGAGTCAGGGTCCTGAGGAGCATAAATTCCCCCTCAAAGCCCCCAAAGTGTCTCATTTATTCCGGCACGAATCTACTTATTCCTCTGCTCTGGAGTTATCTCTATCTGTCCTGTACCCCTAATAGCGAGATGAGCATTTTTATGAAAAAAAATTTAAAAGATAAGTTTCCTTTAGTGATTCCTGTACCTGTCTATCTTTTATGCTGTTATCGTTTGGGGGCCACACCTAGCAGTGCTCAGGGATTACTTCTGGCTCTGCACTCAGGAATTGCAGGGCAGTGCATGGGGGACCATATGGGTTGCCAGGGATCAAACCCAGGTCAGCTTCATGCAAGACAAGTGCCCTACTTATTGTACTATCTTTTCAGCCCCATGACCATTCCTTGATTAACTGCTGGGATATGGACTTCATCCTTGCTTTAGTGGGAGCAGACATCAAAGGAATTATAGCACACATAGGTTAAGTGTTTGGGAATCGTATGTTACATTATGCCGAGGAAGGGTGCCTTAATATAACTGGGTAATTGGTGCCACTTTCCGAAATAGGTTGTTTGGGTTCCTTCTTCCAGAAGGAGTAAGATTTCCTTGAACTGACTGGAAAGATATATTGGGTGGCTTTCATTACTGGGATGCACCATGCCTGATGGTGGCATGATGGAGGCAGATGGACGTGGTAAAGAACAGAGTATGTCTGAGCACCTCAAGTCTTTGTACTCCTCCCCCTTTCCCTTCCCTTTGTTGTGACTGCAGTGTCCTGGTATCACACACTTGACTGTGTTGCTCATTGGAGTGCACATAGTTATTTGTGGTACTCACACACTTTTCCGAGATGCCAATGGGTCACACAGTTGGCTATGGTGCTTTCATATTCTTGCTTTTCAGTGCACCAGAGGTTAACTTTTCTTGATGCTGGGGATCAGTGTCACTGAGATCACACCTAGCAATATGGGCTATTACCGGTTATTGAACTTGCAGAGTCAGATATGCAAGACAAATGTGCTACCACTGAACCACATCCCCTGGCTTTGTACTTTCTGAAGCACACACTGAAATAGGAGAGAATCAGGGGGTAGAAAGAGCACATGGAGAAACTTCTACAAGTCCTAGTGTCTCCTTTTAAGGAGTTGAGATTCGATCCCTTTGTATTAGTTTCCTCTTGCTACTATAACAAATTACTGTAACTTGAAGGATTTAAATAGGTGTTTTATAGTTCTGGGGGCCAAACATCTGAAATGGGCCTTATTTGGCTAAACTCAAGCTGATAGGAGTCCTGCAATTCCTTCTCTGCTGTGGCTGGAACAACGTTCTTTCCCCGTGTCCCAGCTTCTAGAGTCCACCATCATTCTTTGACTCAGTTCCTTCCTCCATCTTCAGAACCAACAGTATGACTTTTCAAATTGTTCTGTTTCTGACCTCTTTTTTGACCTGTTTCCCTTTCTGTTCTCTTTCCTTTATCATATTCTTTTCCTGACCCAGCCCTTTTACCTCTCTTCTATAAGCACTACTGCGTTCACACTATGCTTTACCTGGATAATCGAGAATATTGTCCCCATCTCAAAATTCTTAATCATATTTAAGATTTCCTTTTGTCATGTGAGGTCATAAGCAAGTTCCAAGAATTAGGAGGGAAATGTCATTCAGGAAGGGGCAGGAGTTTAAGGGACATTAGTCACCCATAGCCTATGGGCTCTGAATATGCTTTCCTGAATATGCTTTTTTAGGGGTAGAGCACTTTCATTGCAGAAATATCTTGAAAGTCCCTAAGTTTAACCCTCATCCTAGAAGGGAGGGAGGGAGGGAGGGATGGAGGGAGGGAGGGAGGGAGGGAGGGAGGGAGGAAAGAGGGAGGGAAAAGTAGAAAGAAAGAAAGAAAGAAAGAAAGAAAGAAAGAAAGAAAGAAAGAAAGGAAGGAAGGAAGGAAGGAAGGAAGAAAGAAAGAAAGAAAGAAAGAAAGAAAGAAAGAAAGAAAGAAAGAAAGAGATGGAAGGGATGAGGGAGGGGTTTTTCTTATAGAGGAGTATCATGAATCATAAGGTCATTTGTAGTCATATTGCGGAGAGCCTGAGGAGTCCAGTCTTCAGGACCAAGAGTTTTACAAGTGGGTAATGAAGGGGACAAGAGCATTTGAGTTAAGTCCTAGCGCTACCCAGACAGCATTGGATGAGACAACCGAACACCCTGGGTTTCACGGAGAACTTCCTGACACCTGCAGAGAATATGAGGTAGAGAAAGGCAAAGGTACATTACTCAGGAAACGTGGGGCCATGAAGGGAGCAGAGATGACAAAGCCCACAAGGTGCAGTGCCAGGGGAAATACTGGGCATTGGTTCTGTCCATCCCAGACCACAAAGCGACCCTGTTGGGGGCCGCCACAACTTCAAGAATGGCGAATTGGCGGCACTCTGGAGTACTCCTGTGTCTTCCCTCATTTGTCCAGGAGGTAAGACAGTCAGATATCAAATAGAATGATCCATCATTTCTCTTGCTTGTATTGACATTTGTGGCTTTCCAGCTGTCTGGACCTTAACTTGGATTAGAAATCCTCCAGCAAGGAACTGGCCTTCCAATAGCAGTCACCACATCATTGCTCAACAAATGAGAATAATTAAAACTGCTATGGCAAGAAAGAGTTTCACTTGAATTATCCGGTGTGTTGGCGTTTAACCCTGTTACAACTCCTCAGTTCTTTGTAATATAATCCACGATGTATACTTAAGCTCTGCTTGCTTGCTTGCTTTCCTCCTTTCCTTTTTTCTTTCTTTGCTTCTTTCTTTTTTTTCTTTCTTTCTTGCTTTCTCTCTTTCTTTTCTTTCTTTCAGCTCTGGCTTCTTTGACTGATGCATCAATAGGTAGGTCAAGCCTGTTTTGCTCTATTTCATTTAACAATTGTTTTTCTTCAGTGCTTTGATTTGTTTTGTTTTCACAGGGGCTACCTCTGTCAGTACTCAGGTGTCCTGCAGAGCTGGGGAAATCAAACTCAAGGCCATGCATATGCATGTGCTCTACTACTTGAGCCATGTCCCTGGTTTCTTACCTCCAGCATTGAAAAGTCTATATAACTTTAACATGCTCCTCTCTCACAACCTCTAGGAACTTTCCAGAGTAAATCACATTGTGAAGAGAGAATAGTCTGTGCATTCCTATATCTATAGCATTGTCATTCCTTGGTGCTTTTTGAGAAATAATGAGAGTATGCATTTCTGGGCATGTACCTTAATAAACAACATGTGTTCTTTTATCTAATAGTTGAAACAGTGGAAGGCATTCGAAGAGGAAAATCTGACAGTCAGAAGCATGGCCAAATATTTCAGCACTCCCAGCAAAATCTTCCAGACCCAGTATGAAGAGGACCAGAACTGCCATGGCAGAGGAGAGAGAAACTCCATGGAGAGACTCCTCTCAGAAGTAAGCTGCACAGCCCAGCCAAGTACACACATTAGAACCCCAGTCATGCCTCTGGAGACTTCATATTCTCTCGTTCCCAGCAGCCTTTTCCCTTCTTCTAGCCCCCCCCCCCCACCAACACACACACAGCTTCCTGGTCACTCCACTTCCCTTAGCAGCAAGCATACTCTTGGCCTTTCCCCCTTGGTCATCCATCCCATTGCTGACCCTCACCTACTTGGTATATTCATTGAATCATTGTTTGCCAGACGGTGTGCTAAGTGCTGATAACAACAAAGACAATTTTATATATTGATATAATTTTATATATTGATATATATTTATCAAGTAAACATTTTAATAGAAATTATGAAGGAAAACTTCAAAGTGATAAGACAGAACAATGGAGGATGAGGGCAAAGGAATTAGTCTCAAGCAGTCAGAAAAAGTTCTGTGAGCTGAGAGCTGCAACCAAGTACAAATTGCCAGGTAGAGACAAGAAAAAGTTAAAAAAAAAAAAAGAAGAAGAAGGAGGAGGAGGAGGAGGAGGAGGAGGAAGAGGAAGAGGAGGAGGAAGAAGAAGAAGAAGAAGAAGAAGAAGAAGAAGAAGAAGAAGAAGAAGAAGAAGAAGAAGAAGAAGAAGAAGAAGAAGAAGAAGAAGACGACGACATTCAAGCAGGGAGAAAGCAGTCCACAGGCCCCAGGTCCAAGAGGCTGCTGGTTCCTTCTGAATGATGTATTTTGCATGACCTTTGCACAGGTCTGTGCCCTTATTTTTGGTTGCTTATGTGACCTTACTGTCTTCTATAGCTAGAGCTCTGCTACTAATCCTCCCCACCCATCCAGAAGTCCAAGAAATGCCTCGCTATGCAGAGGGGGCTGAATAGGACCTTTGGAAATCATAGTCATGCCGGGGGTGTCCAGACAACCCCTCCCCAGTTCTCATTTCTTCTGTACTTGAGCCAGAGTTGGAAACTCTCCCGGAAGCGGGCAGTGTGGTGTGGGCTTGACAGAGGCACATGGAGAAGAAGCATGTGACTCCATTGCCTCAGAAAGGAGGGACGGGGCCCAAAGGAAGTGGTCAGTATTCTCTCTCTGCAATAGAGTTTGCATCTGTTTTTCAGTGCAGAACATACTAAGTAGGTGTTATTTGGGACACTGCTTATTTTCTAATGGGACTGACTCCTGGAGGTCAGATATGAGAGGATGGGATGATGGGATCCAAGAATACTGTCGCCCAGCACATGGCCCCTTGAATTCTCCATGCCATTCCCCGGTTGTGGGTTTGTGGTTGTTTTTTTTTTTTAATCATCAGAGGAGTACATTGCTGTGTCTTTACTATGTATGAAGCATTCAGGATCTTATTTCAAAGCCAGGCTTCTTCCCACCTGGCAAGGAGCAGCACTGCCTTTGATACTCTGAAGCCCTCAAAGACACATTTTTTTTTTCCAACTAAAGGAAAGGCAGAAACTTGGCGAGAGCCGCAAGGGTGGTTTTCATTCACAATCAGCTTATGTCGGAACAGCCAAGTGGACTGACTCTTCAGCCTTATGGTAATTTGTGACGTGCTTTTTGTGCTTCTGCCCCACATCTCCCCACTTTCCCACGCAGCGACTGAATCTGCCTTTCCCCAGAGAATGCCTTGAGTCTAGGAAGAAGCCTAATAGGGTACAGATGCAAAGACCGCAGAAAGCTGCCACCCCCCAGCCCCAACACCTGGAACATCTTTCCCAGAACAAAACTGAGAAGCAGCAGCCCATGCCAGGCCAAGAGGTTCTGGAGCTGCATCCCCAGTGCCGCCCTGCCCGGCAGAGGAATAATCATCTCTCCTGCTACCAGAGGGCACGGCCTTGCTTGAGCTTTTGCAGAGTTTCCCTCCGACCAATCCCTCTGCTCCCCGCATCCACCTTACTCTCCCCAGGTCTGGGCAGCCCACTTTCTAGTCTTGCCTCCGCTGCCCTTATGGCTGGGGACTCCTCAGGGGCTGTTCAGGGCAGCCTCCCCTAGAGGCTTCTGAAGCTGGCTGAATGCCAACAGTCAGCACATTTCAAGGCTGAGGATCCGCCATTCTCTATTGCACAGACAAAACTCACCTGGGAACCTTCCTTGATCCAGAGAAACAAGAGAGGAATTTTATTTCTCCCAGTCACCTGCCACCTTATAAAACATATCTGTGGGCATCTGATTCCCCTACATGTGCCCAAAGTCCCAGTTAATAAGCTCATTTAAATGCGGCTGTTGGCATAGGAGGTCACACTGGGGCTGCAGCCACACCTCTCATTAGGATGCAGCCTCACTAGAAACCCGGTCCTACTTCCCTTCCTGCAAGATGGGAAATTGACTATTTAGGCTGCCATTTCTAAACCTGTCACCAGCCAGCTTAGGATGTTTGCTTTGCCAGAGGAAGAGTCTTCTTCACTCAGTGTTTATCCAATTTTCCAACACTTCAGACAATATGTAGCCAAGGCACCAAGCCGCAGCTCCGAGTTGGCTTGTGAAGGAACCTTGGGTAGCAGAGTACTCCTCGCCATTTGCACAGTCAGCAGGAGAAGGAATGCGAAGCCCAAGCTGAGCAGGACTAGAGCTGGGGTCCCTCCCATGCAACCACAATCCCATTCAAAAAGTGCCTCCAAGAGAACTGTCCCACATGGTCACCGGAAAGACCCTGAATTCATATCTCCCAGGCATGTTCCCTGTCCTGGCCATACCCAGACATTATCCTCCTTGGGTGAGGAAAAGAGAAAGCACACTGATAGGCAGATAGGTATTTGGCCACAAAATCCTTTCACTTACTTACCCATGACTCACAGACCTAGACTGTCTTGATGCTGAAAGAAGTGGTCTCAAAGCCAGCACAACTGAAAAGACCCCTAATGCCCTAATATAAGAACTCACCTTCCTGCTCGTGTGTCAGCCAGCAGCTGACCCGTGGAGTGGTTACCCCAGGGATCTACCTGTTAATCCCCAAAAGTATCACCTCTTGGAAATTCTCCATCTCAGGCTTGGGCCATAGATGACTTGTACCTGGTATCCTAAAGAAGTGAATCTTGCTGATTTAATTCTCAGGCATATCCTTACAAGTCCAAATACTCAGTCTTCCACTTCTAAAGAGGGGCATAAGAAAGAAGCCACATTTGGGCGTTGAAGTAAGCAGTTTCTAGAACACATGTCATCTGTTCCTGACCAGCAAGTCTCCATGATGGGCTCATCCCTATTCCACTGCTTTCTAGTCTGACAAATTTCAAAGGTGGACATGAGGTAGAAGTGAGAGAATCAGCTGGTGTCACACCAGAGGATGCTCAGGTCTCACCCAGCATGGCTGATTCAGTGGGCTCAGTCTGGGTGGTGGTGAACAGCGGAGAGGCAGCTTAGTGTCAGAACTGCGTTAGTTCACCACATAGGCTTCATTCTAGATCAGCTGAATCAATCTACCTAAGCTCAGCAATACTTCTCCAGTACTTCTGCTGCCTGTTCTTCTCTAGAGATATCAACAGCTGATAGCAACCCCTGATCGCTTTGGCCTCCCACCTAGAGTCAGCCAGGGGAGTGGGGTGCATGCACTAATCTGACACTCTCCTTGGCTTCTTCTGGCTTTAGTCTTGCTGGCTTTAGTCCAGGAATCTCCATCCTTGTCCATGGCCTTCCCATTTAGACTATTTAGCAAGAGACAAAATACATGTTTTCCCATTCATTCATGCCTGGAGATGTGTCTCTGTTTTATGTGTATTCTACAAAAAACTGCAGTTGGACCAATCTGTGTCTATATTTGAAATGTCGCATTACTCTGCAAGATACCATGTAGATTCGCATTGGTCTGATCTCTCATTTTAAGAATGGGTGGTGCTAGACTGAGCTACCTCCACTCCCTGGGGGAATTAGGGTCAGACACTAGTCCTACAAGACCCATAGGGAGCACTGTATGCCAGTTCTTGTACTCAGCGCTTCATGTGAATCATTGCAGTAGGGAAGATTTCACCTTCTCAGAGCCTGAGATCACTCATGAATGTACAGGAGCTGAGATTGAAGCCAGGGTCTTCTGGTGCCACACTTTTCACCAGGAGAGAGAACGTAAAAACCCTGGGAACAGCTTTTGCTGATGGCTATGCTTTTACTTACAGAAAAACGCTGTGATTGAAAGCCTGCAGGAACAAGTCAACAACGCCAAAGAGAAGCTAGTGAAGCTGATGGCAGCGGAACATACCCACAACTCCTCTGAGTGCTCAATGGCCCCAACCCCTTTCCACAGCAAGCACATAAGGATCTCAACCCAAGGCCTGGAAGTAACTCAAGGGCCTTTGGAAAGTCTCTCTGACTCTCAGAATGATACCAGCATCGCTGCTCAGGGCTCCCAAAGTACCTCAGTGCCTTCCTCAAGTGTACCTAGCCTGGAGGGGCAAGGGCAGAAGGAAACCATGTTTGACTTGAAAGACCTATCTGGTCATTTAAATTTGGACTGCAGCCAGAAGTCTGGAACTGAGGAAAACCAGAGTACAGAAAGGAGAAATGAGATGACCAAGGCCCCCTGCCAGAGTCTCAGGCCCACTGGAAAAGGTTCTCCTCCCCAGAGACAGGGGCAGCTAGAGAATGCAGAGAAGCCCCAAAAACAGTTGACAACGGTTGATTCAGTGATAAGAGAGAAGCTTCAGGAAGTCCTAAAAGATCTGGGCCTGGGCTCTGAGGCTCCCTCCTTCCCATCTCGTCCCCAGCAGCTCTGGAAGAATAGATCTGATCTCAAACCCCAGAAGGTTCCTCTCTCCAAGGAGCTGGGCTTCAGCCCATACATGGTGAGGAGAAGGCGGCCAACACCACGGGTTCGCTCACACTTTCCTGCCTCTCGACCCTCCGACGGGGGTTGTCAGGCAAACAGGACTGTTTCCAGGGCACATAGGGGACTGACTGTGCAGAGCAGGGAGGGACCCAGCCTGGATGCCCAAACTGCTGCTTCCAGGGGACTAAGACAATCTTCTAGGAAGTCTGTGCTCCGTTCAGGCCATCAGGGAAAGCGGGTCTCCCTGGACAGCAGCAAACCAGGCCAGGTGCAGCTCCAGAAGGCCAGAGGGAAGGCAACAGCCTTTCTTCTCAAGCCCTCTGGGGCTGGCCAGGCACAGAGTCTCACTGCTTCGGGCCCATCCAGGGCTTCCCTAGACCTGCCGCTGCAGCCCCTGGGATCCCTAGGATGCACCCCACTTCCTGTTCCAAGCAGCTATTTTGACACCGAGTCCAGCAGCTCAGATGAGTTCTTCTGCCATTGTCACCGGCCATACTGTGAAATCTGCTTCCAGAGCTCGTCAGATTCCAGTGACAGCAGCTCATCAGAGACTGACCCTGAGCAGGCTGTGGGACTGGCTTCCTGGGAAAAACTGTGGGCACGCTCGAAGCCCATTGTGAACTTCAAAGATGACTTGAAACCCACACTGGTGTGAGCAGCAGCAGAGCAGATTCAGGTCCAGAGACCAGCTGATCCCAGCAGTGCTGAGGCCCAAAGGGGCCAGAGAGACCAGTGCCTCCATGTGAGCAGCCCACGCTGTGTGCTCTGTGGTCCTTCCTGACAGGTATCACCGTCAGTTCTATTCTTCCAGGGCTGCCAGGAACAAGATAGACTGTAACACGTTTCTACCTCATGGCATTCCTGCAAACAATCCAGTTGAGTGACCATGAATGATACTCTTTGGATGGAAGGTGCTAAATGAGCTTGCTGTTTGTTCAGACTGTAGTCTACAAAATGCTTGCTATATCTCTGATGGACAATTAGGTGGACAGACAGATGGAGAAATGGATGACAATGCTCTCCTAAATCTGAGTTGTTGACAGAGGCTCATCAAATTAGCCATTGAGTGGACAGACCTGTGAAGTAGATAAATCTCCCACTTCCTTGAGTGACCTGCTCTTTGTGGGAGATGGTTGTGTTTTTCCTGTATGAACAGTGGTGTCCCTAAGTTACAGCTTTTGGCCAGACTCAGCTCACAACCACATCAACCCATTCCCTGGCATTCAGGGCTTTCTACCATTATGGCATCTCACCATTACCCAGCAATAGTCAAGTCTCTGTTTGCTCCTAGGCACCTGGATCTCTCCTCTGGACTTGCGTGGCACCTGGTTCTCAGCCTGTCCCAGTGCTGTGGTCCATCTCCCTGACTGCCTGTATTAGAACAAAGACAATGGCAATCTCTGTTGGGATAAGGGAAGTTCCCATTGGTCCAGATGTGCTATTGGTGCTAGTATAAACCTGAACATAGAAATGGGAAATGGAATAGAAGAAATGGCGGCAGGGGAGGCAGGAAAGAGAAAAGTTTTGAACCTTGACCCTAGTCTGACACAATCTTTGACATAGCAAATTTTAGGAGTTCCTTAAGGTAAGTCTGGGAAGTACACACTTATCCTAACTTTCACATATGGGAAACATGAAACTGAGAGAACTGAAGTGCCTTCCCCAGCTCCATGGCCCTGGAGATGGCCCTCTAAAGACTGACCACAGCTCATGGGAATCCAGGTGGGTGGATTTGTCTGGGCCCCATCTTTATTCTTTCTGGGAGCAGCCAACCCAGCTGAGAAAGTCAATTGCAGAGCCAGGGTAGTTGAGGGAAGCTGACATGGACTCATCTTGGGATTCAGTGGAATAAAATTGGGCTTTTCTCCTTGGGAAGCAACCCTCCCCTACTTTCCAGCACAGGGCTTAACCTCACCTTCCAAAGAAGCCTGGGAGTTGGTGCATGATGAGCATAGCCCACACCCCTTGTTGCTGAGCCAATTGTTTCCAGGCTTCCCCTACCCTTCTCCTGGCTGAGTGTCTGTGTACACATGTTGTGGGAGGTGGAGCTTGGGCCTCATGTAGGATTCTTGGGGGAGGGGGCACTTAGTTCCAAATGTTTCCCAGGAGATTCCTCACAGACCATCGGAGCTGCCATTACTGAATCACGGTGGGAGCTTGGAGCTCTCCTGGTCGCACCACTCGCCCTTTATCTCATTGGAAATATGTGTCATAACTACTCTATGTAGAGATTTGTAGGGTCCACAAGAACTTTCAGTGTGTTGTCCAAATCACTAACCCCTTAATAAAGGAAAAATGACTCCCCAGGCAAGTTTTCAGAAGTTGTGGTGGGGTTCTAAAGAGAGAGTGCAGGAGAAGACAGTGAAGAGAGCAGCTGCAGGAATGGAAGACCGTGACCATCATAGTTGGATCTGGTGTGTCCTGGCTTCTGAGTGGATCTTCAACCAGACTTCCAATTGGAGCAGATGCTTCTGGTACCTCCCTGTTCAGTATCCTATCCCAGAAACTAGAAACACTTGCTCCCACGCAAATAAGATTCACTAGAAACACTGGATCTTCCTACCCACCAGTGTTTGGGCTTTACAGCTGTCCTTTCTGCCCCATATTCACCACTCATGAACTCCCGTTGGCTTAGTGTGCGTTATGCAGGTGCTCAGTCCGGTCGTCCTTCCCACACACTCTCCTGCTCTTGTATCCTCAGTCCCCAATCACAGCCCTTCCACATATCCTTCCTCTTCTAGAGGAATGTCTAGAATTTCTCCCTGTTCCAATTTGGTGCACCCTGAGAATAATTCACCCTTCAAATCTCAAATGTAGTAGACGTTCTCTCTTCAGCCTTTCCTAAAGAACCCCAGATAATCAGTGGGATGATTCCCTGGCTCAGAGGTTCTCAAATCTCAAACCTAAATATTTGTCTACCACCCCTCTTCAGAAAAGAAACCACCCCCATCCCTTGCAACCTGAAAGATCTACCTTCTTTAAATAAACAGAAAGTGGCCCCTGAATGCCCGAAGACTTCTATGTATCCCTAGATTATTCAAGCACCCACTAAGTATAGAATCACCAGTTTAGGAAATACTGAAAGTTAACAAGAAAGTTTTGATCCATACATCATGCTCTATTCCTTTAGAGGTTTTTCATTTTTATTTCATCTAACAAAACCTTGTAACCCTGGTTAGACTTGACTGAATGTGTCTTATTTCTGATTCCAAAAGGATGTGCCAAACATGATTACCTGCCCCAAATCTACTGTCTACTTCATACCATCCCCACCTCATTCCTCACCAGATCTTCCCCTAAACTTTTTAAGGTATGTGTGTGCCTTATCCTGGTTGTTATACTCTTGGAAACGGGGAAGTAACAGGTGCAGTGGGATCCTGGGGATGTAAACATTGCCTGAGCTGCAGTGAGTTGGACTTGTGTCTCTGCCGGCTCAAGTGGGAGGGTGGAACCAAGCTGGCTTCTGACTCGCGTTTCCTACTGACTGGAATGTTGAATAGTGGAGGGAGAATGGAATTGTCCATCCTGATCCAGAGTCTGTCCTTATTCCCTGACCTGTTAGATTCTTACCTTAAAGGAGCAACTGGTTTTTCTAGAGGAGAAAAAGGGCATCAGATATTAGAGGCATGTTTTTAAAGAACCACCTTCTAAAACGGTAAGGAGAAAAGTCCATGCAAGTCCCACAAAATCTCTTCTGTGTTTGCATTTGTTTTTCTTTATTTAGATATGTCTTCACAGATTGCTAGTTCCTGAAAGACATTAAGTATGTCTTTGTACTTTTGTATTCTATGAGCCTTGCACACAATATAATCTTCAAAAAAAGTTTAATGCATAAACTTCTAGATAGATCAGTGTATAAAACCAAGAAAGACAAAGAGCCTTTTCTGGGGCTAGCAAAACAGCAGAAAGGAAGGTAAGCCATCTGGTTTCATGACCTTTCAGTGAGATATGAGAAAAAAACATCACATGAAGTAATTGAACTCTGCAAGTGACAGTGTTTAAGGCTCTTTGGAACAGTGGGGGGAAGGTGGTGGAGTTAATGGATGGAAGCAAGAAGGGATTTGTGATAAAGGTCTTCTCTCAAAGACACTTTCTTCACAGGCTTGTAGCTGAATAACAAGTAACTCATCAGTAAAAGGAATGATAGTTGATCTTTCTCACCATCACCTTCATGGGCTTCTTCCTTGTTTAGTGCCCCAGACACGACTGTATCTCTGTTACTTCAAGCTTATGATCTCCCCCAGTAACACCATCCAGGCTTTGTTATTGGAAGTCTGATACAGAACGACTATTTATGAGGCCAAAAGCAGGAGAGAATTTACTTGTCATCAGACTTATTTCTTTCTTGTTTCTGGTACACTATGGAACATTTCCTTCTGAAATGCCCTTCATCTTATTAGCATTCTTAGCCAAAGAATATTGAATAAGAGAACATCTTGGTGTATTCAATAAACTATTAAGACTATAGAGATTGAAAACTCTAGAGTCACAAGACAAAATAATCTGCTCTGAGCTTAACAAGGTCTGGATCAGTATTTCCCAAAACTTTTCATTCTTTGTCTTACCTTGGACATATACATGAAGTCGAAGAATGCATACTTGGAGTAAATCCTGAAAATATTTGTAGGGGACTACGAAAAACAAAAGGAGAAAGGAAAAAGAAGGCGAGAGGACACAAAGTTCAAAGAACATAGATGAATTTGTGGTCAAAGAGGAAGACAAAAAGGCAGAGGCATCCTTGCTTGGCAACACAGAGGAAAATTGTGCAAGAGCCTCTCCTATGAATGGATATGATGGTTCTGATCCTGATTTAAGGAAGGAACTATTGTTGGTGGGGATGCAGTGAGAAAGAAACCTCATTACTGTTGGCAGGATTGTAGAGTGATGCAGCCTCTATGGGAAACAGTACAGAGATCTCTCAAAAGCTAACGGCAAAGCTTCCATAGCACAGTGGTAGGGCATTTGCCTTGCATGCAGCCAACATGGTCGACCCGAGTTCGATTCCTCCACCCCTCTCGGAGAGCCCAGCAAGCTACCGAGAGTATCTCGCCCACACGGCAGAGCCTGGCAAGCTACCCGTGATGTATTCAATGTGCCAAACACAGTAACAACAAAGTCTCCAATGGAGACGTTACTGGGTCTGCTCGAGCAAATCGATGAACAACGGGAGGACAGTGACAGCGACAGTGATTGTCCATCCACTCCCTAATACCTATCCCTAGAACACAAAAACTAAGTAGAAAATATATGTGCACACCTATGTTCACTGAAGCACTATTTCTAATAACCACAATCTGGAAACATTCCAAACTCCCAGCAACAGATGAGTAGATTAAAAAAAAATTACACACACACTCACACACACACTAGAATACTGTTCAGCTCTAAGCGAAAATGAAATCTTACCTTTTGCTACAAAAAGGATGGAACCAAAAGGGGTCATAGTAAGCAAATTAAGTCATAGGAAGAAGGACAAATAATGGATGGACTCGCTTATGAAGGATATAGGGAAACAGTGGGCAGAGGGACCTCTCACTGGGCTGGGGCACATGCTCTGCTTGCAGGAGAATCAGGTTTGACACTCCCCCCCCCCCCCCCCCAGTGCTGCATGATTCCCTGAGCACTAGGAGCAGCCCCAGAGCAGAGAGCTGGGAGAAGCCCTGAGCACCACTCCCAAACTCACTAAGTAGTAAATAAAAATGAAGCAAGGGAATAGTCAATGTCCAGTGAAAA